TTAATATTCTTACTTAAGCAATAGCAAAATCTGAAAATTTGACAGTTATCTTTTAATATATCATAGCACAACATTCCACTAACTACACCTCCTACCGTACTTTGAAATAGGAGGTGCTTTTGAGTCTGTGGAATATAAGTAACAACTTTATTGCAACAGTACCTTGGAGATGAGACGTGGATAAAGCTGACAAGCTTGAGATATCACTGGCTCATATACTGCCAGGGATTCTAGAAGGATTTTCTCAGCTTCAGGCTCCTCCTCAACGAAGTGCAGCAGCGACTCCACCTCCTTACGAGTAAAGTTAAGCACTGGGTTCAGGTCATCAACCACACGGTCTTTAAAGGCACAGAAACAAAGTTTCAGCATTTGAGAAATACCAGTCGATGTTAGTAACAAAGCAACAAAGCAAAGCAATGGCAAGAAAATTTTTGGTGCAGCACCATACACCTTGTTGCAACCAGTGCCTTGGTAGCAACTGCCAGTAACCCGTTGCTATCACTAGATCACTGCTCAGTCTCTAGGCCTGTGTAACTCTGGCTTTGGGGATCAATTTCACACCAAGTACCAACAAGCACACTCCAACCAGTCAGGGAACACACATTTCAGTATATGGTTGCTACTTGGTCTCTAGGTCTGTGTAACTGGGGCAAGACCAGAGCTTTTATAAGGGCTCAAGTGAAGTACCTGTCCACTGTAACGATTAACAGCTCTTGTTCAGATTAAGAAATCCCTTACCCGACATGCCCTGTTTGGAGACTTGTCTGTCGTAGATCTTTTTCTCCAAGGTAAAGTCACAGACGAGGCGGTAAATGTGGCAGGGCTTTCTCTGACCATATCGGTAAACCCTACACACAGCCTGGGCATCGTGACAGGGGTTCCACGATGCATCAAACACGACGACGCGATTTGCGCCAATCAAATTTACCCCCAAACAGCCCGCTCTGAAATACACAAAAAAAGAATAACAAATAAATGTTAAATAAATAATTAATGAGAAAAGGTGAGAGAGAAAAAAATGAAGCGAATGCAGAGATTTATACCTGGTAGAAAGCAGGAAGACCCGTGTTGAGCTGTTTTCTGGATCATTAAACTGATTAATAAGCCGCTCCCTTTCTGAGGCAGATGTACTTCCATCCAGTCCTGCAGACACACAAAGCAGGGGTATAGCATCTCTTTACAGTGAAACACCTGAACACACTTTAACTTGTGAAATGAAGAAGAGATACTGAGTTTAGGAACATTTTCATCAAATTCCTATAGAATACATTGTCTTCTCCACAAAAGAATATAATGAGTGGACGAATCCAATACTATAGAAACTGCAGCCAGGGACACCAAATCAATAAAGGCAATCACAACTTTGAGGTTTCAGTGTTGAAGAGCGCATTTTCTGCAGAGGGCGCAGATTGGATGACTCACTGTAGTAATTGAGGTTGCGAACCCAGTTCTGGCTCTGGCCATCAGTGGAGGCAATGCCCTGCGGCATGGGTCTCTTTGATAAGAAGTCTTCAATGACCGTCAAGGTGGACAAGCTTTGGCTAATGGAAATACAGCAAAAACAGATTGTAAGGGCTAAGCAAAGTAAGTGTGCTTACTTTTATGGCTATGACCAGTAATTGGTTTGTTTTCAAGAAAGTTCAGAATGTGGGGTAATTGTTAAAGTAACCTGAAAAGACACAGAAAACCTAGAAAAATGAGGTTAATTAGGCAAACTGCAGTCAGTGTCTTCTATAAGCTTCTTATTGGTGGATTTGTCTTTAATGCCCTGTGCATGGGGCAGAGGACTTACCTAAAGACCAAAATCTTGTCTCTTCTCCTCACACTCTCATCAATCAAATGGAAGAGCAGAACCATCTTGGCAGAGTTCTCCAGAACTCCTGTCTGATAGTTGGACATTATGTCCTTTGCCTAAAGTATAGAACAAACCTTTAGGCATGCTCCTGGCATACTTTAAACTGTGTGTTTGTTATTAAACAGTGACACTAAAAATGTCAAGCCAAGCTCTATGTTCGTGACATACCCATTCATATGTGATGACTTGATTGGCTCTGTCCTGAGAGGAATTGAGTGGTGGCAGAGTGCTGTTGACTTTACTGTTGCTTGAGTCTGCTACTTTGGATTTGAGGCCAGCACCGGGTGCAGGGCAGCGAGGGTTGCTAGCTGAAGTGATGTCATCGAGGTCCAGGTCCTGCTCGTTGGCCTGATTCTCTTTCTGCAGGGCTTCATAGAGGACGTCTGGGTGATTCCAGATCTAGATGGAGAAGATGATGATGATGACGACGACACAGGACTTAGCAACTCAGATAAGATGAAGAAGAAAAAAAAAAAAAAAAAAGCTCCCCAATGTAAACAGGGGTTTTAGTAAAAAAAATTTTTTAAAAAAAATCCATAGTCTTACCTTGCAGCAAACACAGAAAGCTTTGAGTGGATTGAGGCCGAGCCAGCCTGTGTTCCCTGCTTCTCGAAAGCGTTTCATAAACTCTGTATAGAGTGCCCTCTGAATGGGGGAGAGCCGTACCAGGATCACATGCTCCTCCTTCGTGGGAAGCTGGTCTCGCAACACATCGTGACCTCGTCTGCAAACAAAAAAAGCACTCCCGTGAACGTGGTGAGGTAAGCAACTTCCATATTAGTATGCTTCGTTTTCACAATGTTCAATTTCTGAGCCTGACTGAAAGCTTACCGCTGGACAAAGCCCTCCAACAGGCTATGCAACACGTGACTACGGTAGCGCATCAAGCGAACATCTTGAGGAGTGCTGTCCACACACTGACCATTTAGGATTGGACGCTCAAACATGTTGCTGAACTCCTGGCGTGTGCCTAAAAAGTCAGGTCTGACAAAGTCCACCATGCACCAGTATTCGATAAGGTTGTTCTGCAAGGGGTAACCTGTCAGAACTACCCTGCGTCTGGACCGGATGTTCTTTAGGGCTTGGGATGTGCTGGCGTGGTAGTTCTTAATGCGATGGCCCTCATCACAGATCACTACGTCTGGGCCGGGCCGTGCTATGGCCTTCTCAATACCTGAAGAAAAAGGATGAAAATTAAACAGATGAAAGTGTAAACTGCATACAAAAGATGGAAGCATGTCACTGGCTCGTTTAGAAGTCTCGGCTTTAGCTTTATCGCTGCTGCCATAAGTTTTTTCTGAGCTTTAAGTGACTTATTTAGATAAGATGAGGGAGTGCTAAGTTATCAGCTAATGTTAACAAGCATGGGTAGAAAGGCACGTTCACTCACTGTATGGGTGCTGTGAACAGTCACAGATACCTGAGAACTTGTGCTAAGTAACATTAAGTAGTACAATATGACTCCTTGTATAGCCGCGGGTACAATTAACAGATCATGGTCATAAGGTCCAATTCAATGACTCAAACAGTGTTAGAGTGACAAGGAACATCTACATAGATGTTTGTATAGTTTCCAACGGCTCCTTATACTTGTACTTACTTTTCATGAGCTCTTGCTGTCTGTCTTCTTCATCCAGGTCAATGATGATTGGTCCGGCAGGCTTCTTTGATTTCCTCTTCTTGCCCATCACAAAGCTCTTCTTCATGGACAGCAGCCGGTACATTTCATAACCCATGAGCAACACACCTCCATCTCTAGACCACTCCTCCACAACCTTGGCCCTGGCCAGCGTTGTTCTGCAGGTCACATAGTCAACATGATTAAACAGCTCAAATATTTCACAGTGCACACAAATCACTAAGTTACATACTTGTGCTCATCATTGAGAATGTGAACTTTGAATGTGCGGCCAGTGACGAATGTGGGGTCGGTGTCAGGGGGGAGGGCTTCTTGAGGTGGGAGCCAGAGATTAAACTCTGTTAGCCAGTTCTGAAGTGTGTTCACCTTGTATGAAGGAAACAAAAAAATGTGGAATGTTACTTTAATCCTAACATAACTGTTATTTCAGGAAACATTAATGTGCAACTTACATAACTACTTTTTTTTTTTTTTAAACCCCGTATACACTGATTACTCACAGGGACAATAGCAAGCACAGTGTGGGCCTCAGTGTTCCTCAGCAGGATGTCAATAAAGGAAATGACTTGCAATGTTTTGCCCAGCCCCATGCTGTGAGCAAGGATGCAGCCAAAGCCACTGCTGGTATTATAGCGCTCCAGAGACTCAATGAGGTTATCATAGAGAAACCGGATTCCCCCGATCTTAGAGATGAAGAAAAGAAAAGGTTAAGCAATAAAACAAGCTGGACTATGATTTTTTTTTTTTTAATGTTACCAAAGATTTATGCTCTGCAAGCATATGAGCTGTATGAGATGGCAGCTATACCTGATGAGGTTTGACAGCCCTGGCCAGCTGTGGGGCGAGGAAAATGTCTTTCTCCTCTGCAGGGTGATTGATATTAACCAGCACTCGACCTTGAACATCAGGCAGGTTCAGATCATCGTTGATGTGTGCTCCACTGCTCTCCTCTGTCCCATGGGCACCATCAGGATCTTCATCAGCCGACTCACTGCTTATCTGCAGGGCGTCTTCGTCCCCAGAACTGAGCTCAATTACATCTGTGCAGTCATTGGTGAAGTAAACACTGGGTTAGTATCATCTAAATTAACTTGGAAATAAGAAATTACAACTGCACAGAACTATCATCAATCTCACCATCTCTAATGGGAAGTCCGGGCAACGTTGGCTCCGCTTTTTCATCTTCTTCACCACTGCTGTCCAGACAGATCACATCCTGCTTGCTCAGGAGACCAGGGACTAAGTGAGACACTTCTCCTAAAATTGAAGCAGTCTCCACTGCTGGAAAGATGGAAAGGGAATGGGAAACTTAGAAACTGAGTATTATGAAAGCTGCCAAACTGAAATACTGTTTACAATTCAGTCTTAGAAAGTCACCTAGTTGAGAGTCAGGGACAGCTGGAGCTGGTGTAGGAAAGTCCTTCCTCTGCTGCTCCAGACGTTTCCGCCTCTCCATCTCTTCCTGCTGAGCAGCCTTGGTTCCAGCCTCTAGCTGATCCTCTTTCAGCAGCTTTCTATAAGCACAGAGAAAACTTTCTGGTTACACACAAGCAAAGATTTATTAGGAAATATACCTAGAAATCATAGAAACATAATTGTACCTGATATTCTTCCTCATGTGTGCAGGCTTAGATGGCTTTGAAGGTTTGGAGCCTTTCAGAGACTTTGAGGATTTGTTCAGTTTAGAGGCTTTCTGTTTCTTTGTTTTGCTGGAAGGCGGCCCACTCTTGCTCGAGTTCTCTGGGCTTGTTGGAGAACGAGAGGCAGGTCTGGAAGGGGCCCTGGAGGATGGACGGGATGCAGGCTGAGATGGAGGCTCGGAAGAAGGCTCTCCGGAGGTAGCTGAGGTGGAGTCCCTGTCATCCTGACCCGTTTCTGTCCGGCTCTGGGCACTCGCAGGTCGATCTAACAAGGGAGCAGCCAGTAATGAAGTTGAATACTAGTTAATATTTGCTACAGATCTTTGGCTTAAGAGAACAAAACTGCTGAATTTGATGCCTGAAATGAATCTGAATATTAAGAGGTAAAAGCACAAAGTTAATTTGTCACATACCAACACTGTCGTCTTCATCATCTCCATCATTTTCATCCTCATCTTCCTCCATGTCTTCATTGTCTTCCTCTTCCTCATTTTCTAAATACTCCTCTTCACTGTTAAGGCTGGCCTCCAGGTCACTTTCTGAAATTGCCTCTTCAGACATGGCGTCTTACGGGGCTCTCAAAGTATTACCTGCACACCTTCATCAGGAACCCTGCAATAATGAGGCACATCCAATCTTTACATTACAACAAAGGTGATAAGTTAGCAAAAAAAGAAAAAAGAAATCCCCTGCATTGTTGGAACCAGAACATGTGGAATGTACAGTGACATGAAAAAGTATTTATCTCCTTCCTGATTTTTGCATACATGTTTCAGATAATCCAAAATATATATATATTAACCAAAGTAAATTCAAAATGCTTTTATTAAAGAAAGAAAGCTATCCAAACCTACCTGCCCTGTGTGAAAAACTATTTTAAAGCAGACCGATATGCTTTGGTATCACCTTAAACAGGCTGTTTATGATCAAAAACCCTCCACTGTGCTGAATTAAAACAATTCTACAAAGAAGAATGGGGCAAAAAAACAAAATCAGAAAGATGGAAAGTACTTTTTCACAGTGCTGTGCACTTTGAGACATATATTTACAAACCAAGAGCAGCTATGTATTTTACAGAGACCTTTACATGTTTTTACAGTAAATATTGTTAAAACAGTGTAAAAAAACTTATTTGCCATCGAGTTGTGGTTCCGCTTTACTTAACCTGGATTTGTTCCTCTCTCCATCTCATAATCTTGCAATGATAGAGCAATAAACACTATTCAAAGGAGAAATAGGCCATAAAAAGGACACATTCAACTGTTTCAAAATCTAAGACAGAAATCTGAATTCTTTTAAATAATCCTGCAATAAGTTTGCCTCACCCCAAAACTTGTGTCCTTTCATTATGCATTATACTTTTATACATTTCATTATACTGTGTCTGTGTGTGGTTAGCTGCACAGCGGTAGAGAGGAAAGCACTCCAAAGGGTCTCCCTTCTCTAAAAGAGGTTTATACTTAACATTAACTAAAAAAAACAAAAACAAAAAAACAAAACCACAACATCACAAAAAAGGCATCCCGTTGTTGACACATTCAGTTTGAACTGCAGCCCAGACGTTTCAGGACATAAAAAACAAAGGTTTGATTTTGTTTTGTGCGTCTTTTATCCAAAAGCCATAACTACATTAAACGTTTTTAAAAGACTCAATCGTACAATGATCGTCAACAATTAGAGGACAGCGCGGTACATGTTCAATGATAATGAAGCTGTTATTAAGTTCTGCAAAAAATAAAAAAAGAAACCAAAAAAACAAAAAACGTGTTCACTAGGTGAAGTCAAGGCTGCAGACCTGATGTCTGATACCGGAGAACTTCACAAGTTTAGCGTTTACAGTCTGTCTGGAGGACAGAAATTAGGTTCAGTTCTTATATACTTCGTTTTCAGCTTTCGTATTTCTTGTTTATTACCTTCTGGGTCCATAGATGAAATTAATACGAGTATTCATTCACACGGGAGAAAAACCCCGAACCCCCTCCCCCTCTTTCCAAAAGGCTTCTAAGCCCGGGATGGCGACAGCTTGCAGCCACCTCTGTAAGATGTTATGCATTTTTCTTTTAAAAGATTAACATCAAGCACCTGTCGTCAGACGGCTTATTGTTGGGCTGCATTACTGCATCCACAAAAAATGTTACTGTTTGTCGGCTATGTCAGCAGACCAATGTGCTAGCTAATTACACAACAACAAACGCATTTTCAGCCCCCGAGGGTCAGCGGTAACCTCCACGGCCCATGAGCGGCAGAGGTGGGACGGGCTGAGACCCATCTGTGACTTGTGCTGGAAGAGCAGCGGCTTTTTTTGCAGAACCGACTGCTCTGTTCGGGCGAGATAGCGATCTAATACTGTGTAGGTGTAACGTCCCAGCAGCTAATGCTAACTCATCTTAGAGCAAAGCTAACACACTCGGCTAACTAAGACGCGTCATTTAAACGTAAACTTGAGCTTACCTTATATAAGCGGACACTGTGCTGTTTAAGACGCCAGTATGTTAGTGCATATAACTATTACTCAATCAAATAAGCACGGTAATTGTGTAAATGCCCTGATAAAACGTTGCTAATTTCCAATTTTTTCCAGTGTGACCATAAATACTGTCCCCGTAGAGACTACTCTAACTTGCGTTCCGACTAACTAGCCGGATTTCCCAGGGGTCGTGGTATCCGTTCTTACTTGCAGTTTTGGGTTAGGATATTACGCATTACAGTAAGCTTATTAATGTAACCATAGTTCTGTTTATTGTACTCACATTAAAGATGCCCCCCAAATTTTGGTCCTCTACTGCTGCTTTTGGACAAACGTCGCGGTTTTATAGTCGCTACTGTTATAATCAGGGACCTGGTTGTTTCCCCGAAGGTTTCATGGTTTAAATCATAGCATCAAACTCGCTGATATTTATACAATTCTGTGTGTAGTTTTTATGGGTTATGTTATGTTAGACGTTATCGCCATGCCTGGTTGACCGCTCGTCGTTGCTCTCGCTCAGGAAGTTGCCAGTCGGACTGTTTTTCGCGACGAACCGTCGTTTCTTGTTCGCGTATTATGTAGGAGGCTTCTTTCTATTGTGTTTACCTAGGGACTCTACACAGCGGATTTGTTAATGGATACGGCTAAGATTTCCACCCTACGTTCTGACATGGACTGGAGAACCTCTTAGATATTAGTCTGCTGCCCATAGATGCAAATATGAATAAAGGGTGGCTAGAGCTCGAGAGCGATCCGGGTGAGCAATTTCGACGGACCGCGTAGCTAGCTAACGTTAGCTCCCACATGAAGCCAGAGGCACAATTTAGCTTTTCAATGAACTAATACGAGTTTAAAACCTTTGCAAGTAGGATGCCAATAGGCTTTGTGTTGTGCAAGATGGTCATGTCAGTAAAGACGGGCGAAACATTGAATATAGAGAGGGAGGATAGCAGTGAAAGTGGCATGTGTTGTCTGTTTTTATTTTTCGTTGTTGAACCTTGAATGCTTTATAATTGCAGGACTGTTCACTCTGCTGGTGGAAGATTTCGGTGAGTAGCTGTGCTGGTTTGCAGTGAATACCAGTAGATCTGTGGAGTCCTCCTAAAACAAATCATGCTATTTCCTTGTGTTTCTATCTCGTAGGTGTCAAGGGGGTACAGGTGGAGGAAATCTATGATCTCCAAAGCAAATGTCAGAGGTCTGTGATTTTGGGGGATCATTCGGGGCAAATCTGGGTTTAGCACTCAAACTGTCTAAATGGATTCATGTATTTTATATTTATATTTTTCAGCCCAGTCTATGGCTTTATCTTCCTCTTCAAGTGGATTGAGGAGCGTAGATCCAGGAGGAAAGTTAATACACTGGTGGATGAAACGTCAGTCATTGATGAGGAAATTGTAAATGATATGTTTTTTGCTCATCAGGTGAGTGCTTTTCTCGTAGTAGTATTATGACAACATTTAAAGCTGTTAGGCTTGTTTTAAATTCCGTATGAGGTGTCAAGCTATAAAGTTTGCCCACTCTCTAACTAGACTAGTTCTTTCTCACAGGTGAGCAAAATTAATGCATATTGTGTGTGTGTGTGTGTGTGTGTGTGTAACTAAAAATTATTTAATTTTTGTCATTTAACTTTTATTCATTTAAGTTACAAAAACCAGGACAAATAGCATACATTTTCTGTAAACTTGTAAAAATGACCTTTTTTTTGTGCAGTTGACTAAAAGAATTATTTTTGTTAATGCTAATTAAAGCTGGATATAACTTAGTGCTCGAACAAAGTTTGGGTCATAAATTGCATTATTTGCATTTTTTATATAATAGATAATATGTAGATGTTATCAGGCATAACATTATGACCACTGAGAGATCATGCGAACAATGATTATTTTTTCATTATGGCACCTGTTAGTTTGTGGGATTTATTAGGGAGCAGGTGAACATTTTGTCCCCATTGTTGATTTGTTAGAATCAGGAAAATAGGCAAGCACAAGGATTTGAGTGAGTTTTGCAGGAACCAAATTGTGATCGCTAGATGACTGTGTCAGGGCATCTCCAAAACAAAGCCTGCATAGCTGCAGAATAGTCAGGGTAGCCATGCTTGCTCTTTCCCATCACTGAAAGTGCCAACAATGGACATAAGAGCATCAGAACTAGACCACAGGGCAATGGAGGAAGGGAGCTTTGTCCAACCATGTTTTCTTTTACATAATGTGGATGTCTGGATAGGGAGAAGTCAAGCCAGCAGACGCAGTGTAATGTGTGCTGGGAAACCTTTGGTTCTGCCATTCATGTGGATGTTACGTTGACATGTACCACTAACCTTGGTTTGAGGCCATCTCTGTGCCAGATAGCACAGCACACTTTCAGGGGGTCAGGGAGCCAATGCTATACTAGCCAGAGAGTCATAATGTTAGGCCTGCTCGCTGTGTTTAGTATTTAATTTTAAAAAAGTTAACTAAAATATTTTCTGTATATTTTATATCTTTGTTCTTTTGATCAAATGCTGTTAATCAACTAAAGATTTTATCATTTGTTAAAAAATGTAATTTTGTTAAGTACCCTGTAAATAACATGCTTACAAAACCACAGAACAGAAAAACTGAACTTCAAAACTGGATTCAATCACAAGTGACCCAAAACAAAAGAAGCCCTTTAACACATTTTGATTCCAGCCCTTTAAAATCCACATCTACACTTTCATATGTTACTATAAAGTAAAAAAGAATAAGGTGGTCTAATTTTACATGTGTGCTTGTTGTCACTTTTATATCTAGCTGATACCGAATTCATGCGCCACCCATGCTTTGCTGAGTGTTCTTCTGAACTGCAGTGGAGTTGAGCTTGGCACCACCCTTAGTCGCATGAAAGCTTTTACAAAAGGCTTTAGTCCAGAAGTAAGTTGTCCCTCTCACTCACTGGCCCTTTCTATTCATTCAAAAAAAAAAATCATATAAGTAGCTTACTGTGGTTACTGTGGGGGATGTATTCATTAAGGTAACCTAAACATGCTTTTTACGTTTCTGTCAACAGTGAACTGCTTCTTCCGTATCGTCATGTGTAACTCTCAATTATGTATATTTCAGAGCAAAGGTTATGCAATAGGAAATGCCCCAGAGCTTGCCAGAGCACATAACAGCCATGCCAGGTTGGTTTCAGTCAGTGATTCCTTTTCAAATCTTCTGTGATTGGTCTGCCACACTGTGGGAGATGTCAAGCTTTGTGCATTCGTCAGTTTCTCAAGCTCTCTTTCCGTGTTTCTATGGAGACCGGAGCCTAGGCACTTGCCAGAAAAACAGAACGGGATCAGTGCAGTGCGGACCATGGAAGCCTTCCACTTTGTTAGCTATGTGCCCATCAAAGACCGCCTCTTTGAGCTTGATGGGCTCAAGGCTTATCCCATTGACCACGGTGAGACTCGGGAGACTTTTTTTCTTTCATTATTCTATTTTTTATTTATTTTCTTTAATCCATTAAAGAGTCTGAATTCCGGGATAACCTCATTGGTTGTTTGAGAGTCTATGCTAAATACAAACACTGACCGAGAGTTCTTGGTGTCTTAAATAAAGCAGTGCCTTTTCTGAAGTAATCATGCAAACAAAACAAATTGACTCTCCTTTAATTTCTCCGTATGGAAGTTTTTTGTTTTTTTTAAACTGAACTGAACCATGCTGTTGTTGAGCACTCACTTTATGGAAATTGCTGTTTAAATGAACTATCACCCACCACAATATTTCAGGACCCTGGGGTGAGGAGGAGGAATGGACTGATAAGGCACGGCGTGTTATTATGGAGAGGATTGGACTGGCCACTGCTGGGTGAGTCCTAAATCAGTTAGCTTCAAGTAGCTGTGCTTTAGCTTTACAGTCATCCTTAAGGCTTCATTATTATGCTGCTGCACTGCTTTTTTTCCAGCGAACCATACCATGATATCCGCTTTAACCTGATGGCAGTGGTGCCTGACCGCAGAATGAAGTACGAGTCCAAGCTGGAAATATTAAAACGAAATCGACAGACTGTGCTGGAGGGTCTACAGAAGGTCAGGAATTGAGTTTGATTGCAGGCCAATTACAATCCCCAAAGTCCAATTAACTGAGAGCATATTAGCCTTCACGTTTTTTTGTTTTTTTTTTATTGTCCAAGGGAAAATTTTAAAAGAAATGCATGGGGCTAAAATGTTTAATTTTAATTTTACAGCATCGGTGTACAGTAAACTATAGCTGCCTTATACCGTAAGGTACTGTGCAATACTACAGATTGAGACCCAAAAATCTGGTTACCCTCCCGCTGTAATGGGAGGAAGATCTCCAAAAGAAGAGCCCGCATAAAATAAATGTATGGACTTTTTTTGTTTTTGTTTTTTCTTTCGAGAATGCAATTAAAATATGTTGTCGCACCAATCAGATGATCCGGCTCACCCAGCCCGAGCTTGTCCATGACAAGAAGCAGCAAGGCTCTTCCTCTCCAGATGAAAGCAGCGTCACAGTCAAGAAAGAAGCAGATGCAGACCCAGTTACATCCCAAGGAGGTGAACACGCATCTTCAGGTAAAGCGGTCGGCTCTCTTTCTGCTATTTCATTCTAATTTATTCCTTTAAAATGTGTAGTCGGCTCAAACTTTAAACCGAAGCATAAATATACAACAGACGACTCAGGGGTTCAGTCCAAGGACACCACTAGCTCGTCAGGAAACACTAAGGTCATGGGCAAACCACCAGTCCCCACCGGAGGAGGTTCCCAGCAAGTCACTAGTTCCAATCCCATTGTTCAACGTCTGCCCGCCTTTCTGGACAACCACAACTATGCCAAGTCTCCAATGCAGGTAAGAAGTGGGTCAGAGAAGTGTTTAGCTAATTAGCATTTTCGTTTTTTAGCACAGAAAAGAGGAAGAGACCACAGAGAAGGTTCACGTAGAGACCGAGGATGTGTAGAGGGTTGGTGTGACAGAGGAGGATGCTTTGGATAGGGTGAGATGGAGGCAGATGATCTGCTGGTGGGGAATCTAAAGGGAGCAGCTGAAAGGAGAAGAAGACGGAATGAACAGCCATCATCTATGTGGCCATTTTAGATATTTTTATTGTAATGTATGACTGTTTTGGGTTTTTGTTTTTTTTGTCCGGCCACTGATTTAAGCCTCAGAG